TTAGTATTTATTTCTATTTAAACTAACATTTCCATGAAGTGCAGTTGTTTTCACTTCCATCAATTTCGAAATTATATTATACCATGCATGCTAATGCTCTTGAAAAATCTTTCTTTAGGATCCAAATTCTAAAATATTCGCTTAAAATAGTATTCTGTCACAACCTAAGAAAAATGGCAGATGCACACTTTTCCACTGAAGAAAACTGCAAATAAAAGCAGTTGCTTCCCAGCACAAACTACTTTATTGACAAGATAAAAATACAAACTGCCTTATCCCACTCATATCAGATAAGGCTAAATCCATTACTCCAGTAATAAAATGTTAAGTGCATAAGTACTAGAAGATATAGGCAGTGGAGATGTTATCATATCACGGGGACTCCCGTGCCATTGCTTGTCTCATCAACCTGTTTCATGGGAAATGTCAGAGTGCTTCTGTAGACAAATCTGCCATCAGCCTGATAATGAATTACTTGGGGGAAAAGTCTGCTCTCTTTGCAGGTCTCAGTTTGAAGTCCATTATATAGATAGATCGCCCTGGGGAAAAAAAAAATAATAAAAAGCTCTCTTATATTTAGGTGGAATTTCTTGCATTTCAGTTTGTGCCCACTGCTGTATCCTGACCACCAGCAAGAAGCACCTGCTTCCATCCTTTCCCCTTTCCTTCCCCTTCAGATATTTATACAAATTGAACTGATTCCTGAGCCTTCCTTTCTTCAGGCTGAGCCACTCTCATGGCCCTGGTCACTGCCCACTGAGCCCTCACTGCCAGCTCCATGCACACAGGGGCATCCCAGAGGTTTTGTTAACTTTTTAAGCTGCAGTGCCTCTAACTCCACACACTGATCGTTTCAAGCTCAAGTTGAATAGAGGAGAGGGAAGCACAGTTGGTTTGGCTGTGTGTGCTTTTGGTTTAATAACATAATGTGTAACACGACCTCTAAGTACTATATTCCTGCCATTCAGTTCATCATACATCTCCTTGATTGGCAAACAATGTAATATAAAATAAACAAGACTTCAAATTGCACTAATGTCTATGTTTAGACAAGCATTTCAAGCTAACATGCACTCAGCTATGAAACACAAGCTTGTAGGTCTTTAAAATGCAGCTTTTTGAGACCATTTTAAGATTAAAAACAATGTGTTGATGCTTGCAGCAAGTTCTTTGTGTGCATTATTGACCTGAGAGGCAGTGATAGGCTGGGAAATTGAAAATAAAATAAAATAAAATAAAATAAAATAAAATAAAATAAAATAAAATAAAATAAAATAAAATAAAATAAAATAAAATAAAATAAAATAAAATTCTGGCCTTGTTGCACATTAACAGTGAATCAAGTTTTGCTTGATATATTTTTGTTACACTTTGTCAAAACTTCTGACACCTCAATTACTATTTTATTTTAAATGCTTTCCAGCTCTTTATTCAAATAATGTTTTAGTTAAAATTCATTGAGCCGAGGTCATTGCTTATTCACAGCAGCAGCTTGAAAGCCTTGTGAGCACAGCTGCAGATGTTTGCCCCACTAACCAGCCCCAGCAAACTCTTCCCTGCTTTTGTGGTAAGGCAGGGAGCTGCGGGGTGCCTGGAAGCAGCGCTGGCACCAACACAGTCAGGCACCATCTAGAAGCAAAACATCCAGAACAACACTGCAAAGGCTGACATCCTGTGAAAAATTAGCAAATGAACTGGGGAGAAATCAGTCTACCAAGTAGCTTTCCTTTCTTTCTTCTCTGCACATTAGAATGTCAACCAAAAAATAAAGCAAGGCTGCATTACTTGTGCTCATAAAATTTCATTTAAAGCACACTGCTGTGATTCTATTTTAGAGAAAAAGAGTAGCTTCCCATTAGAAAGGAGATGTGAAACTTCCACAGCTGGAAATCAGTGCTTTCAGTAGAGACAAGAACGCACCTGCCAGTCAGACAGCTCTCCCTCTTGTTCAGCATTTTACCCCTGACAGTAACTGTGACTAGGTTCAGAGGAGTAAATTTTGCAGTGATCAGATAGGATTATCTGTCATTAGAAATGGTCTCTCTAATAGCTAGTAGTAAGAGCTTAGTTTATACTGTGTTAATTCCCTAGGTTTTATGTAGTTTTTGCTGGCTTTTAATTTTTTTCAGGCGTAACAGTAAAAACAACAAATACCAGTAATTGCTCCCAATCCATTTCTTCTGTAAATGTCAAAATCTTTATGTAAACCTACTATTAGTTCAGTGTTTCTACAACATTTAGGTTATACTTGGGGACAAAATCAAGATTTTTGGTTTATTTCTTTTAATCAAAGATTATAATCCCAGCAGGTGACTAAGCATTTTTAATTTGCTGTGCTAGCAAATAGAAGATTTGCTGTGCTTGCTGGTAGAAGATAACACACGTTAATGTGCCCTTAATGCTGCTCTGAAGGGAATAGCCTGCATGGAGTTCATTTGAGTTTCTCTTAGGAGAAAAGTATTGTTATAAATCCAGCAATTATGTTGTTTTCGTTGTATTTATATAAATTGAAAAGTTGTTATTCAATTCATCTAAATGGAAATAAACAGTAAGTCACTTATTTTCTAAAAGTTTCAAGCCTTTTATTAGCAAGTCCTCAGCCTCAAAAGTATTTTAAGGATTTCTTTTCAGCCACCTTGATGACTGCCATTTTCTTGGATGCTTTTCTCTCATATAAAGCAGAGAGCTGCCTTGAAATCCTCATTGCTAAGCAGCACAGTGTGTGTGTTTAGGCTATTTTGTGGTTTGGATGCATACTGCATCCCTGTTTAAGTATCCCACTCTAATGTTTTCCTTACTATTATGGCTCTGCACATCTTCTCTTTACTGTCACATAAGCCCTGTGTCCCTTTTGTTCTTTCCCAGGCTCCACTCCTTTCTCACTTACTGTGCCTGCCTTTGGGCTCCTTTAGATATTTACTTTGCCCTGAATTATTTGTCTCCTTCCTCTGCCCACTTCCTTTTCTTTCCTAACGGCCTCTGGGCATGTATCCTTTTTTTGCTGTATTGATAATTTAGAGAAGTAGATTTTTAACAGTGACATTGACAGACAACTTACTTACCTGGGATGTGTTACGTTGAGTGGAGTTTATTTCAGAATATTATGAAGTTTGTTAGTACTTTCTAAAACACTAATTCAAATAAAGTAAACTATTAAAATCAGTGTTCAGGTAAATGGGTTATGTAAAAAATTTGAAAGCTAGACATAAGAGAAGCTAGAGAGATGCATGGAGTGGTGAATGCAATGTCACACTGAATGCCTTCCCACCTGTCTTGTTTCTGCAGTTGCAATCTACTGATGCATCATTATTTTCCAATACGTCTTTTTAAGACATACTCCCAGCTCTAAAACATGGTGAAACAGAAGTTTTAGCTGACGCAAGAGCAGGGGACAGAGAGAAAGGGAAGGGTACATCGGGGCCAATATATGGGCTTTTTTAAATTTTTGTTTTTGTAAAGCAGCTTTATGCAATCATTTTCACCAAAAGAAATACAAATTTGACTGCTGATGTTTAACACATTGCCAAAAAATACTGTCTTTTGCTAACTGTAGTGCCTAAAAACCATTGTATTAAGCACTTAATTTCAATACTCTGTTTTGCCCAAAATGTTAGCGATATTTCTGTTCAACCTCATCTCCCTCTTATAGAATCATAGGTTTGGGTTAGAAGGGATCTTAAAGGTTATCTAATTCCAGCCCCTCTGCCATGGGCTGGGACATCATTCACCTGACCATGTTGCTCAGAGCCCCATCCAGCCTGGCCTTGAACACTTCCAGGGTGGGGGCACACACAACTTCCCTGGACACCCAAATTCAATGCCTCATGACCCTCACAGTAAGGAATGTTTCCCTAATATTTACTGTAAACCTACCCTCATTCAGCTTAAAGCCATCCCTCCTTGTTCTGTCTTTACATACTCCCATGGAAAGTCCTTCTCCAGCTGTTCTGCAGACCCCTTCAGGTACTGGAAGGCTGAAATTCGGTCTCCCCAAAGTTTTCTCTTCTCCAGGCCAAACAGTCCCAGCTCTCTCAACCTGTATTCATAGGAGAGGAGCTCTAGGCACCTAATTTTTTATTTTTTTTTTTTTTTGGCACAACATTAAAACATAGGAGAAATATTCAGAAAGTTTTAAATGACTAAGGAGTTATAAATAGTAAGATATTTAATTAGATTTTAGTTTCCAAATTAGAATTCAGAATTAGAAATTACTTTCTGGGAAAAAATGGTATGTCTTGAACTTCAGAAAAATGAAAGAAGAATGTCTATCTCTTATGTAAAATTCAGTGAGAACTTATTTTTTAATTGATAAAGCTTATTAAATAGTCATGAATCTTCTTGGAACTCTTGATTCATTTTGTTTTTCCTCACCATTCTAAGCTTGTGTGATGTATATAAGTTGTTGTGCTTGGTAAATTGGAAGCCTTACATTTGCAAAATTTTAGTGAGTCACAAGCTTGGCTCTCTGGTAGAAACAAAAAAATATAACAAGCTGAGTTGTCAAACACGTGATATTAAACAAAAAAATCTCTCTTTTTCTTTACCTTTCTCCCATCTCCCCAATATTTCTGTGAATTAAGATACTGTGTTTCTATACGACAGATTTTTCCCTTCTGATCTACTCGTGTGGAGATCTCTCTTAGAAGCAATCTACAAGTTTTGATAACTTCAAACAATGAGTTATTTAATAAGTGAAGCCTGTGTTTATTTATTAACCACCAAAAATTAATGATGAGAGCACTTAAAAACTGTGTGCTACTTGCACGAAGGCTATTCCTTGCTCCCTCACAGGAAAAAAAATACCTTCCCTGTGTTTCTGCTGATTTTCTGGGTGGGGACTTGATTTGGGAATTCCTTATATATTCATATTTTCTGAAGTATAGTCTGAAATTATATTAAAAAAAACCAAACTGATATCAACAGAAGCTTAAGTTCAGTAAAAAAATTAGCTCTCATGGGTTCTTATGTTTTGTTTTGACATGTTGTCTCTCTCCTTTCAGAATCTCTGTGCCCACACATCTATCAACAGCACTCCCTGTGGTTTCTTCTGATGTGCCTCACTTGCCTGACCCCAGTGTGCCCTCTCAGATTTCCCCTGCATTGCCATCTGTGTGCCAGGAAGGATTGTGCCATAATGGAGGGACTTGTCGTCCTCTCTCTCTGCCTACTGGGGCCACCTCGTTCCAGTGTGACTGCCCACTGCACTTCACTGGTCGATTCTGTGAAAAAGGTAATTGGGAGTGTTTTTTTCTCTATTAGTTATGAAATGAAAGTCTTATTCTGCTTCGGAGATGAAAAGAGAGAAGAGGTATTGATTGTCATATTTCTATGCTTTTCATCTCAGTTACTTTTGATTAACTGAGGAGCAAATTCATTGACGTAATTCGAATAATACTTATTTGCAGAGTAAATTAGGTGATATCACTCAGGCATACTCCTAAGAATTGCAATTTGAGTTCATGAAGGAAACATTGCATTATTTGTGCAAATGTTTTCTGCACAGTTTCAATGTATGTTTTTCAGTGGAATATTTCTGTGACAGAAGAAAGTTGACTTCCTCAAAAGATTATGTTTTCCATTTCTACAGATGGGTCTTTTTTCCATCACTGTGTACAATCCTTTGTTGAAAAGCAGGATTTTTACTCTGTAACTCATTTATACTTCCACTACCGTTGCTCATAAAGCACAGATCAATCAAATGAACATATTTTAATTAGAATTTGAATAAAAAATAATTCTCTTAGTAATTTTGATTTCTTTGTAAAATTAATCAAGGCAAACTGATCAATACCTCTATTTTGTAATTGCAATTGCTTTCCATAATTGCTTTTGAGAAAGCTCTTTTTTAGAGTAAATTTCATAGCTGGCTTCAAAAACTGTTTTTGCTTTTAAGGTACTATGAGCTATGAATCACAGTAGATAATTCTCATAGTACTACAGTGCATTACTGGTGCACAGGAAAAGAACCAAAAAAAAAATTCTAGAATATGGTTCTATAACTGTATCATCCTCCTAATGAGCTTCCCACAGTATGAAGTAAAAGCAGCTAGAGTTAAGGATGCCCTTGCCAGATTACCAGTATATCTGACAGTGTATTTGAGCTAGCATCATCTTGTATTAGTGTCTAAAAATAGGTCATTGCACTCACTATATGTGAAAGCAATCGCTGTCAGCTCAAAAGAAGAAAAAAAGTCATGTGTTGCTTAGATATCAGAGAATATTTTACCATGTAGCCTTTTCAAGTTTATAATAAATCATGTATTTGCAAATTTTCAGTGTTAAAATTGAATCCCATTAGTATTTTCTACATATTTAGTATCTGGGCATACTCTTTGCACTTGCTTACAATACACTGCAGCTGTGGAAACTGCAACATGAAATAGCGAAACTAAAAAAGTGTGTTTTCACAAAACATAAAATATTTGGTTAGTGCTTCAATGAAGTATTTTCAACATTTCAATAAAGTTCTTTATTTATTTACATACATTTTATATGCCAGAATTTTCTTCTGTGTTCCAAAGAATGCAGTTGGCATCCTTTTTATTAGCATCATCTCTGGTATTTTGGATGAGAGCAGATTCTGGCTTTTTTCAAGGGTTATGCCAAGAGCAAGCAATGTTCAATTTAAGCAGGAGTTTGACAAACGTCCTATGGTAATAGGCCATATCAGTATGTGTGCATAAATGCTCTGTGGGACCCCACTGGTTCCTTCCACCAGTGTCTGATTGCTGCTTTCTTCTGACCTTCCAGCTGATCTGTCCGTCTCCAGGGGTCTTGTATGGTTTGGTGGTTTTAATGACAACTGACATAATTTGTGCTTGAATGATATTATCTGGGCTGAGTACGTCCATGTGCCACAGACTTTGGGGAAAGTACCTTCTGCTTCATTGACTGAAAAAGCTGTTTTTATGTTGTTCATTCTAAAAACACAGTGTTCTAAGCCATTTTCTCCTTTGAAGCTTAATCAGTGCAGGCCAGCAGATTTCAACATTGGAAAGAGAAAGACCACCAACTACACTCCCAAGGAAATTTTTCTTCCAGGGAAGTTTATTTTAGCTGTGTAAATTAAAGGGACCCCTTCTCCCCCTCTTTCTGTGATTTTGTTTCAAAAATCATGTGTGAAAATAAGACCGAATTATGACAACCCCAAGAGCAAATTAAAAGCAGGGGACTCTTGCACTAAGTTGCAGTTGTAACCAAATCTCTGATAGTTAGGACTGACTCTACATAAGGTACACCAGTAACCATTCCATTCAATAAAACAGAATAAAATAGAAACTTTAAAGAAACCCTGAAACAAGTAGCTCCTTTGGAGAACATAACCTCAGCTGTATAATCCTATCATCCTTTTAATGTTCAAACACTCAGTTTCAGGGCTGCCATATCTGACTTGTTCACTGGCTGGGAGCTCACTGGGGCAGCTACACCCCAGAGCTCGTGCTGTCACATTGCATCTTTATATAGACCAGAATGTGACTTGACGGATTCTGTATTTAGGAGCTGAAAAGTAACTGCAGCATAGAATGATTTTATTTAATCCTAAATGTTCAATGAGATTGATAATTTAGTCTAATGAATCCAGAATTTGCCAACTGAACTATGATTATAAACCTTTGCTATTCAGAGACCTGTTCTACAAGAAATCTAGAGAAAGCTCATAATTACAGGATAATTTTATAATTTTATAAATAATACATAATAATAATAAATATAAATGCAATAATTTTATAAATATTTACCATAGAATTTGTTACATGAATTTGTTAATTAATAGCTACGGTAAGATACACTTAGTTTGTTAATAACTTTTTTTGTTACAGTGTATAAGAAAACCTTGTAAAGTGAGAGCACGTGAATTTTATTATGAGTTATCTGTTTTAACTTGATGAGTGTCATTAAATGCAAATTCTTGGTTTTATTCAATTGTTTCTCGACTAGTAAGTTCCAGCAGGTTGTTCTGCCCTTACAAGAAATACATTCAAGTCATAATTGTCCTTATGGATATATTACACCAAAGCAATTTATCTAAATACACAGTGTACTACCTCGAAACAGATACCTCTGAAATATCTCTAAATGACAGTTCTGGAAAATGGAAGCCTATCTCCATTTTTCTAAGGAAATAAAAAATTATGCACATAAATCAGTGTATTTGCCAAATTCAAACTGAAGTTATCAAAACTGGTTATATACCAAAGGGCCAAAGTGAGGATTTAGTATAAACCATGGAAGGGCAACCATCTGAAGCCTCTGTTCACTTTAATACTGCTTTCAGTGTTTCTGTTTTTCTAACTTTTTTAAAACTACAAATTACCAAAGTTAATTGGAAATTAGAAGTTAGTACAAGATGTATTTTAAACCCTTTCTATGCTGTATTAAAATGCAACAAAAAAAATATTTGTCATATAAAATTAATCCTTATTACTCGGTGGTGGGTGCTACATGACTGCTTTCATCCAATAGACAGGGAGGATTTTATAGATAGGGAATACTATGAAGGGAAGATAGTTTACTCTGCACTACCCATTTTTCTTTTTCATTTCTGTATAAATAAGCTCCTTGACTTTAACATTAAATGTATCATTCTTTTTTAGCTAAGCTGTGTTATCTGCTTCATTGTGAAATTCCCTCACGTGTGGAAAAAACTGCAATGGTTCTGCTTTAGCATGAAAGCAGATGGTGGTGTGCTACTGGAAGGTTCATAGCAATAGGTTTGGAATATCAGTGTCTTGCATGTGTGAAGATAGTATATCCTTGACTGTTAATTATAAGATTAACATTTTTAAAGTCTCCAAAATTTTTAGTATTCCATAAAAGTTTTATAAATTGTTCAATAAAAAGAGTATTTAAATGTCATGTGTAAAAACCAGGAAATCTGTTTAATTTGATATGTTGCCTGTGTATATTCTGTACATTACTTAAAGGTCAACTCCTTTGACAAAGCTGCAAAAATAGCAGGAAAATGGAAGGCTGTTGCAGGCATTTAGGTTGGAACAGTCACACTAAAGACTTTGCTACATTTGTTCCCCAGGATACACTTGTTGAATTCCTGATTTGTCGAAAAATACTTGATAATATCACCCTGAACATTCGAAGTTTCTTTTATAGATGTTTTTCTAGATGTTGTTCCTAATTTAACATTTCTAACTTGTGTCATTGACTACCGTAATTCATCTCAGACAAGTCTGGGGGATTTTGTCTTTATGTCTTTGGCTTTGAAAAGAAATGTCGTTGGTTCAATTCCTGTTATTTTAGCCATATTTAGAACAGTCTCATGTCTCCAGCAGAACTATTTGTCTCCCCAGTAACATTTATACTGTGTATGTATGATTTTAAAAAAGTCTGTGACATTTTCCATCAAAAAGAAAAGTGAGCCAGTGAAAATTATATAAAGAGGTTGAGGAAAGACAATTACACTTTCATCTCGACATTCAGGTTTCAGTTTGAGGTATACAGAAAGAGAAAATGGGATGTAGTTACCCCAAAACCTCTGTTTTTCCAGGGTTCAAGAGTTCTTTCACTCATTTTGTCCTCCTTCAAAATTATTCATACCTTGTAAGACTGTGAGCAAGAAAAAAATAATGTGTTTAGAGATATCTAGAAATTCCCACAGTCATTAATTTGATGTCATTAACTTCAGCTTATGTATAGACTCAGGAGATACCTATTAATGTCCCACAATTTATATTTGTGTATGCAAAATTTTCAAATTAACTCTCTAGTTTTTGGACGAGACTTGTAGTAAGTTTTCCCTTCAGACTTTTTTTTTAGGGGATGGGTTTGAAAATTAAGAATACAGTAGGCTAGTTAAGAGCAATCAAGAATTTAGCCAGCAGTTAACTTTGCATGCTGAATTTGATACACTACTCGAGATTATAGCAAATTTCTTAAGAAATAGTTAGCCATTCCCACAGTTTGTTCCATTCAATATAATTCAACAGAAATATTATTTGGGTGAGCAATGCAAAAGGGAATTATATAAATTAACTTTCTTCTCTGCACTTTCACTTGAGGATATAATTTTGCACTTTGATATCAGACCTTGTGAAGTGTAGCTTGTTAACACTTTACAA